GGTGACTCTGAAACGAGCTCTTGAACAGAGAGTAGCTCAAGTAAATAAGAAATGATGAGGTAAAAATATTGAACAAAAAATGTTAAATGGATAATACTAGAAGACAAAGTCAAATATTATAATGAAATGTGCAAAGACCTGGAATTAGAAATCCAAAACAGAACATGCTCAGCATTTCTCAAACCGAAAGAGCCGAAGAAAAAATTCAAGATTTGACTTGCGGTATTGAAAGATTCTATGACAAAATATTGTATGATGCAGGAAACAACAAAAGTAGATGGAAGGAATTCAGAGTCACTGTACCAAGAAGAATTGGGTGATGTTCAACCATTTGAGAAAGTGGCATATGATTAGAAAACTAATGGTATTGGATAAGAAGTCCAAGCTGCACTGAAGGCACTGATGAAAAACAGACTCCAGGAGTTGATAGAATAACAATTGAACTATATGAACAATCTGATGCACCACTGGAAGCATTCACTAGTCTATGTCAAGAAATTTGGAAGAAAACTGCTTTATGACTTGATGAGATCTTTAATTTTTTTTATAATTTTGTTTTTATAGAAGTTCATATAAGGCAATGAAGATGGATTAACTGAATGATGTTGTTGTTGTTAAGTGCCCTAAAGTGGGTTCTGACTCATAGTAACTCTGTATAGGGTTTCCAAGGAGCTCCTTGTGAGCTTGAACCTCTGGTGTTGTGCTTCAAACCAACCTTGTAGTCCAGTGTATTAACCTGAAACGCCACACCTGTACTCCAACTGAATGATAGAGTGCAATATGTATATACCACGTTCTTCCATTGGAGTGCCAAACCTTTCCCAGATCTGTTGATACAAATTCCAAAATATATCTTCATTCCAAGTATCCTTTATGAAACTTGTTTAAGTATCTAATAATTTCATTAGATATTTTGGTTTTCATTTGTCAGACAGACATGGTTTTGACATGAATTTGAGTGATGCTATCATGCTTTTGAAAAATAATTTAATCTTAAAACATTAGTAAGCATCAGAGGAAAGGCACACAATGTCCCTTGAGAAAACCGTATGGGAGTGGGGGGAGAGGCTATCAAAACTGTAAGGAAACTGATCAAATTAGCATGTGTCTCCTTTATGTCCAGATTGCTAACTTCAACAAACAACATCTGCTACATTTCCTGTCTTTCCACTTTACTCCAACTCAAATAACAATTGCAACCCAGGTTTGTGGTAAATAGAGATGTATCCCAAAATATTCTACAGTCTCTTCCTCTTCCAAACCTCTGCATTCAAACCCAGCAATTTACGCTTCTTAAATCATCACATTTTAAAAATTAGAAGTGTTTTGTGAAAGGAAATAGTCTGAAACCCTTTTGGTATAGAACTTTATTTTCTCCTTTTTCTGTTGCTTAGATAATTGTAGTTTCCACTGGGTTTTAGAAACAAGACATTTAACTGTTTTTGGCATGACAGATGTATGGTGAAATATAGGGCTCTTCTGCTTTTATAAATAACACATTTCCCAGATTCTGAAGTTTTTATTCTTTGTTAGCTTGGGCTTGCAAGCTAACAAATTGACCTTTGGGCTCGCTACCAAGTGCCTTAACCACTGCACCACTAGGGTGTCCTATTTTATGCTTCTAATTAATGCTTATTCAAAAATAAAACTTGCCTTTTTTTTTTCCATTTCTGGAGAGGTTTTGTGGGTCAAGAGGAGATTTTGGTTTTAGTACTTTTTCCCCAACAGTGTTTTGTGAAATCTTATTGAAATGTGCCTTGGAGTCCTGGTGTGGCGCTGTGGGTTAATGCGTCAGACTGCAAAGTTGTTTGAACTGCAGCTCACCAACTGCTCCATGGAAATCCTATACAGGGTCACTATGGGTCGGAACAGACTTGACGGCACTTAACGGCAACATTGCATGTTAATAATATAGCTAATTAAATTTTGTTTTCATTGTGAATTGAGTGAAGGTCTACAGAACAGATAGTTTTCCATTCAACAAATCATACACTTTGTTACATCTCAATGATTACAATCCCCTCAATGTAACATCATTTATTCCGCTTGTACCCTGTGCTTCTTTTTTCTACTCGACCTTCTTTCCCCGCTTTTCTGAATTGTATCCTTAGGGTAAATGCTGCCATTTTGATCTTGAATGGCTGACCAGTTTTTGGTATGCATACCTCACTAGTGTCGTTGTCCCCCCTTTATATGCACCTATTGCTTGGCTGAAAACTGAACTATGGGGGTGTGTTCATTTTCAGACCTGAATGGTAACCAAGGGTCATAGTCTCAGGGTTCTATCAGTCTCTATCTGATCAGTAAGTCTGGTTATTTTTTATGATCTTGAGTTTTGTTCCACATTTTCTCTCATTCTATCGAAGACCTTCTAATGTGATCCCATTTAGAGAAGCTGGTAGTGGTATGTGGGCACCATCTAGTACTGGTTTCAGGGCTGTAAAGACGGATGCCCACATGACCCATTAGTCCATTGGACTAATTGTTTCCAAGCATCTTTAATTCTCATTACTGTCTTTCCTCTGTACAGGGAGAGACTGATAGTTGTACCTTGTTATATACATGAAGTCCTCGTGTGTCTCTGTGGATTAATATGCTGTACTGCAAAGTCTGTGTGAACTGCAAGTCAGTGGCTGAAGTTCACCAGCCGCTCCTCGGAAGCCCTATACAGGGACACTATGGGTTGGAACCAACTTGATGGCACTTAACAACAACAACACACACACTTATATATAATGATAATTTTTTTTAGTGAATATTTTGGAAGTGATCCTAAGAGGTAGCAAGAGGAGCTTGAGGAAAGAGAAGAAATATAATACAGGGTAAATTTATGATAGCTCAAAATTTTGATAAATACAAAAGGTGTATGTAAGTCATTACGTCTAGAGAATGTTTGCTTAGGATCCCTTTGTTCAAACTGTTAGTAGCTGGCACACTAATATTATATGATAGCTATTTGTGTCCCTGATTATCTTTAAGCCTTATATGAATTGAGGAAGAATTAATTTAACTTGAAAAGCATGGAAATGGAAAGAAAACACTCTTTGAACACATTCTATGTGCTGGCAAGGGGCAATCATTTTACTCTGTTCTGCTACTGTAATTTCTAAACTTCTTGGAAATATAGAACTAAAATTCTTGGAGTCCACAGCTCTCCATTTCAGACCTCTGTGCAAATGCTTAAAATTAGGAAAGGTGTGTGCCAGGGTTTTATTCTTTCCCCACACTTATTCAATCTGTATGCTGAACAAACAATCAGAGAAGCTGGATTATATGAAGAAAAGCATGGGATCAGTATTGGAGGAAGACTCATTAACAACCTGCCATATACAGATGATACAACCTTGCTTGCTGAAAGCAAAGACAACTTAAAATACTTATTGATGAAGATCAAAGACCACAGCCTATAGTATGGGTTGTATTTCAATGTAAAGAAAGCAAAAATCCTCACCACTGGACCAATAAATAGCATCCATATAAATGGAGAAAAGATCGAAGTTGTCAATGACTTAAATTTTGCTTGGATCAACCATCAACACTCATGGAAACAGCAGTGAGAAAATAAAAAAATGTATTGCATTTGGCAAATACACTGCACAAGACATCTTTAAAATGTTGAAGAGCAAAGATGTCAGTTTGAGGACTAAGGTGTGCCTGATGCAAGCCATGGTAGTCTCAATAACCTCATATGCATGCGAAAGTTGGATAGGACTGTAGAATAATTGATGCATTTGAGTTATGGTGTTAGAGAATATTGAAATTACCATGGACTGCCAAAAGAGCAAATAGATCTGTGTTGGAAGAAATACAACCAGAGTGCTCCTGGAAGCCAGAATGGCCAAATTTCTTTCATACTTTAGACATAGTGTCATGAGGGACTGGAGAAGGATATCATGTTTGGTAATGTGGAGCGTCAGAGAAAAAGAGGAAGATTCCCATCGAGATGGATTGGCACAATGGCAGCATTAATGGGCTCAAACGATTGCGAGGTTGGCCCATGATTCAGCGGTGTTTTGTTCTGTTGAGCTTAGGGTCTCTATGAGTGATACCGACTCCATAGCACCTAACAACAACAAGCAGGCGTACTCCATTACCAATTATGATAAGATGTTCTTGTTGTTAAGTGCCGTAGAGTCGTATTCCGACCCATAACGACCCTGTGTAGGATTTCTGAGGAGCACCTGGTGAGCTTGAGCCGCCAGCCTTGCAGTTCAAACCTACTTGGCACTCCAGCGCATTAAACAACAGCGCCACATCAGGACTCCATTGATATGATGGGGTGGTGGTTCTATGCCGTGGAGTTGGTTCAGACTCATAGCGACCCTGTACAGGGTTTTCGAGGCTGTAAATCTTTACGGAAGCAGAAAGTTTCATCTTTCTCCGGCGGAACAGCTGGTAGTTTCGAACTGCTGACCTTGAGATTAGCAGCCTGTTTTGTAACCACTACGCTACCAGAGCTCCTTGATATGATAGGGAGAAGCATATTTTTCCTGATTTTATTCTATATCAATTAATCCTATGAGCTGAAACTTGAGGTGACTGACAGACCAAATTATCGAAAGATGAGCCCCTCCCCCTTCACAATGCGGATCTGGCTCATTGAAGGTGGTGAAGTGAGCTACACCCACATTATCATTCTATAATCCAGAAAGTCCAAAATCCTCTGGTGTGTGTGTGTGGTTTTATTAGTTTCACTTTCAGAGTATCCGGAGGAGCTGGAGGCAGGCTTTGACCTTTTAGTAAGATTCATTATAACAGAGTTATTCAAAAGCCAGCGCCTCTAGACAACCTTGCTCGTCTCTCTCCCAAAAAATATTTTCCCAGTTCTGGAATTAGAAATGCCTCCTTCCCCATAACCCGGACCTTGTTTGCCACACCTTGAATGCTGACCACAGGAGCAGCAGGTGCAAACTGCCTCTCGATCATAGATTTGTAGGTTCACTGAAGAAACCAGGAGCTTCCAGGAACTGCCATGGGTCAACTCATATGGTGAGCGAGAAATGTGGGGAGCTGTGCAGGTGGGTCTGTGGGAAGTGTGGATGCTGAAAACAGAAGGCCAAAATGGTGAGAAAGTACCTTTCCATTCTGGGAGGTAAACCACAAGAGATGATTGTGGTAAAAATAAACAAGAGCAAGTAGGAGGAAGATAGGCTGAGAGAAATAGGCTAGTTTTGTCCTTTTGTGTAATTTTATTTCTTACCTTTGAACTAGAGGTTTTCAGTTTCAAGAGAGCCTTGTTGCGAAGGGAAATACACAGATAAACAAGAGCCCACAGAACAAAGGGGACAATCTATAATTTATAGTTCTCACATCTGCTGAGGAAACGGTTGGTTGTTGCAGAAAGACAGGGAAAGAAAACAACGATACACTGGAGGTGGGAGTGCAGGCACCAGAAAAAAGATAAAATAACAGTGTTTTAAAGTATTAAAGTCTTTGAGGTAGAAACAGAGCCAAACAATAATAGCAAAATACAAAACCCAATGAAGCAAAATAACCCATGTTATTTTGTAAAATGAGGTAAGTCTTTGAAAAGGGTTCTTTTGTGTTTCTAAACATTCATACTGGGCGGTGTTTCTTCTGTAGAGTATCTCATCTGAGTGAACATCTCCACGCTTCCTACATACACTAGTTCTACTCTAAGAAGATGGTGGAGTTCCCAAGCTTCTCTCCAGCTCATTTCCTCATCCATCTTCTCCTTCTCCTGGTGCCCACATGGTACTCAACAGGTCAGTGTTGTCTCATGTTCTGTTCTTGCTTGTTCTTTTTCAACTGCTCATTTTTATGTAAATGACACAACCTACCTCTACCAAAGACAGTCATTTCATGAGGAAACTGAGGTGTGTCATCTGCTAACAGGAGGTCTGATGGGTTGATGTAGGAGTGGGGGTGTTTTCCTTCATATCAACACCCTTTACTCCTTTGAGTATTCCTCATAAATCTCCTACTATTAATATTTATCTAAATTGTTGTTAGTATATGCAGTTTAAGTCTGTATAGTCTTGAAGTAACTGTAAAATTATACTTGGTAATATTCAGACTGCCACTAAAACCTATGTCTGAGCACAAAGACTTTGGAGTCAAGATTCCTGAACTCTATCTGGTTGTGATTTTATATAAATAATTTTTCTATCTGGGACATGTTGTTGTTAGCTATTATTGAGTCCACCCTGACCCACTGCAGACCATATGCACAATGGAAGGAAAAACTTCCTAGTCTTTCACCATGATTATGATCGGTTGTGGGTGGCACAATGTTTTGTTAAGAGCCACAGGGTTTTCATTGGCTGATTTTTGGATGTTAACCAAGCCTTTCTTCTTTGTCTGCCTTAGTATCTTTAGTATAGAGATTCCGCCATTAAACCTGTTCAGCGTCAAGGTGTAACCCTGACTCAGAGGGGACTCAACACCAACTGGCTTTGTTGGAACATGAGTCCCTTTTTTATAAAATGAAAGAACTCTTCAGGATGGATTTTCAGATCCCATATTTGGAGAGTAACCAACTATAAGATCACAATAATGACATTTTACTCTTGTCTCTTTCATTCGATGTCAATTAGGCAGTGAGCTTATGTAAATTGTAAATGCTTATGTAAATTGATTCAGCAATTCTATACTAGAAATTTCTTTCATAAAGGTGCTTTCACTTGTGAATACATGTTTGAATAAGAATGTTCATTTTAGGACTATTTGTAATGATATTAAATTAGAAGCAACAGAAGTATGCATTGATAAAAATAAATTAAAACTTTGAAGTAGGCAGTATTAAAAACAATTATGACTTGTTGTTGTTAAGTGTCATTGCGTCCACTACGACTCATAGCGACCCTGTCCAGGGTTTCCAAGGAGTGACCATGCTTATCCCACAGCACCACACCAGAACTCTATGTACTGAAATGATTGTTGCAGAAATAAATATTTAACAGTCCCACATATGTAAAACAGAATTCTTTTTCCCACTACATTGTCACTGTAAGTACTATTTCATACCTTTGTTCTAAATCAAACTGCTCAGGTAATGAGTATTACCAAAAATTTGCAGACAGTCATTTGTGTCCTTTGAATTAGTCACCTATATCCTTTGAGTTAAGGAGCTCTGGTAGCGTAGTGGTTATGAATCAGGCTGCTAACTTCAAGGTCTGCAGTTCAAAACTACCCGCGGTTCTGTGGGAGAAAGATGAGCCTTTCTGCTCCCGTAAGGATTTACAGCCTTGGAAACCCTGTGCAGGGTCACTATGAGTCGGAACCGACTCCACGGTACTTAACAACAACAACATCCTTTGAGTTATGCCAGAACACTAAGTTTTACACACAAAACAAAAAAATGGAGAAAAAGAAAGGATCATGACTCCTATCCAGTATAATTGGTTCTGTCATGCTATCTGCCCAGACCACTTGATCAACCCTCTCTGAGATTGCTGGACACTGGAAACTTCCTCTAAGTTCTGTGCCTTTGTCTTCTGGGTATCCTTTCCAAAGTGTTTCCATGTTAGAGTCAATGCATTTGCAGGACCTTGAGTCCTTACCAGTCATAGAATCTACAATATGCTAGAACCTCAAGTTTTGTTCAGTGCCACCAGTCACCTTTCAGTCATCATGAGTTTCTGTAGTAAAAATAATTTCCAGGCAGATGACTCTGAAGTAACTAAAGAAGGGAGCTTCTTCTCTAATTTAGACAAAATTCCCATTTAGGCCTGCAGCATTCTCCTTCACTCACTGGGCACTCCATCTACCCTCTCAGCTCAAGACCACACTGCATCTCAACATCTGGAGCTACAGGTCTCCAAGTCCTGACACCACCTACCCCAAGAAATTAGTTTTCATGAAATCATTTCACCTATGATTCTAAGACTTCATATTTATTTTAAAATAAAAGTTTTTCTTACCTTACAAGTTTTGCTTTTCATTCTGGAATAAAACACTAATAATATTCTCACCCTTCAACAAGAAAGGTCAGAAATGTCTATCTTATCACCTAAGAGCAGGGTATTGGGAGAAAAAGAGATGAAATAGAAGGGAAAGTGTTCACTAAATAATAATAATAATTGCTTAATTAGTTATTTTGGCCCATTTAATTAATTATTATTGTTGTTGTTAAGTGCCATTGAATCAGTGCCAACTCATAGCAACCCTCTATAGGGTTTCTGAGAGCAGTTGGTGAGTTTGAACCACTGACCTTGAGGTTCACACCAACCTTACAGTCCAGTACATTATCCCACAGAACCACACCAGGACTCCATTTGATTACTAATAAATATTATATAGATTTTACATAGCTTATATATGAAAACTGTTTATAAATGAATAAGGAATAATGCATGAATAATGAATTAAGAAGACTGAAGAAAAATTTATGCCTTTGAATTATAGTGTTGGCAAATAATGTTAAATATGCCTTGGATTGCCAGAAAAATTAGCATTTTGTATTGGAAGCAGTACAGCATGAATGCTTCTCAGAAGCAAAGATGGCAGACTTCATCTCAGGTACTTTGTACATGTTGTTCAGAGGGACCAGTCCCTGGAGAAGAACATCAGGCATGCTAAAGTAGAGGGTCAGTGAAAAAAAGGACGACCCTCAATAAACTGGGGAAACTTAGGCTGTATCATCTGCTAATAGACAGTCCAATGGGTTGGGGTAGGAATGGGGATGTTCTTCATATCAATATCCCTTACTCCTTTGAGCAGTCCTCATAAATCTCCTAATATTAATATTTATCTAAATTGTTATTTAGTATTCACAATTTTAGGCTTGTCACTGTTGAAGTAGCTGCAAAATTACACACAATGGGCACAAACATTGCAGTGTTAAGGATGGAACAGGGTCTAGCAATATTTCCTTCTAATGTATTCAGGGTTGCTAAGAGGTGGAACCTACTTGATACCTAAGAACAACAACATTTCTAAATGCATAAACAAATATATTTTAAATGGCCAACTACCAATAGTTTTTATTTGTGGAGAAACTAATGTAATCTGTTGGTAAGTTGTTATTGTTGTTGTAAAGAGCCGTCAAGTCGATTCTGACCCATAGTGACCTTATAAGGGTTTCCAAGGAGCAGCTGGTGAGCTTGAACCGCCAACCTTGCAGTTCAAATGACTTTGCAGTCTGACGCATTAACCCACAGTGCCACAGCAGGAGTAGTAGAGGAAAAATAGTTGAAGATGTTTGATTTTGCTTCTGTATGTATCTTTTTAAATCCTGGTGTGGCTCTGTAGGGTAAACACTATACTGTGAACTACAAGGTCCGAGGTTCAAACCGACCAGCTGCTTCTTGGAAACCCTGTACAAGATCGCTATGAGTCAGAATCGATTCAGTGTCACTTAAAACAACAATGACAACTACTTCTTGGAAAACAATACAAATATGTTTGAATTTCTAAATAAAATTAGTTGATTTTCCATCTTATTTCCTAGCACTTACTCTCCTAATCTGTCTTTGATATCCATGTAGTGTCTGGGTTTACTGTGAAGGGACCAGCTGAACCTGTCATAGTCCAACTTGGAGCAGATGCCACTCTACCCTGCCAGCTTTCCCCTGAGAGCAATGTAGACAGCATGCATATCCGGTGGTACCGAACCCAGCTATCCCCTGCTGTACTTGTGTACCAGAATGGGCAAGAACAAGGTGGGGAGCAGATGCTGGAGTATCGAGGCAGGACGGAGTTGATGAGAAACAAGGGGAGCGTGGCACTGGTGATTCAGCATGTCCGTGTCTCTGATGACGGCCAGTACCGATGCCATTTTAAGGATGGTGACATCTCCCAAGAGGCCATTGTGGAGCTGAATGTTATAGGTATGTTACCATGGCACAAAATGTACATGTTGTGGTGTAAAGTAGAGAGAAAAGCGAGGCTATCCAGATTCCTAACCTGGCATTTCTTTTGATCTTCCATAAGTTGGCATGCTACTTTACCTTGCAGAATGCCAATTTCCTAACCTGTACAGTGAGGATAAGTATTGGACTGCTAACCACGAGATTGGCAGTTCAAACCCACCAGCTGCTCCTCGAAACCCTATTCAAGGTTACTGTGAGTCCAAACCAACTTGACAGCATTTAGCAACAACAACAGTGAGGATAAGACTGTGTGTTCTATTTTTTTAAATACCAAGACAGACAGAATATACATATATAAGTATTCTGCTATCCTAAAACATCTCAGAAAATGAATTCACTAGTATTCATTCAGGTAAGTATTGGCACTTTTAGTTTTTATTCAATCAAGAGAGAAAAACAACAAACCGAATTAAACTCCTTTTCTAGCTTTACTTATCCTTTTTTTCCCCTTCTCTTTCTGGAATGAGCCCAAAGTTCTATCCGTTTAAGTACAGTGTCAAGTACAGGCTTTAAGTTGAATTCAAAACTGAATCACAAGTGAGCCTGAAGCTGGTCATGAGCAGGTACATGACTTGTGATCTTCAATTCAGTCATCAGTCTACTGAAGGTAAAGGAGCTCAAGTAGTATAGTGGTTACAAGTCAGGGTGCTAATATCATGGTCAGCAGTGGTTCTATTGGAGAAATAAGAGACTTTCTACTCCCTTAAAGATTTACAGCTTCAAAAACTCTGTACAGGGTCGCTGTGAGTCGGAACTGATTCCAAGGCACAATAATCACCACCACCTACTGAAGGTAAATTCAACCTTCAGTCTCAGGCACTCCTGAGTCTGGACAACCACAGGCCTCAGACACATGTTTTCTTTCCTCAGGTTTGGGTTCTGCTCCTAATGTATACATGACGGGACCTGAAGATGGTGGAATCCGAGTGCTATGTTCCTCAGGTGGCTGGTTTCCCAAACCCAAGTTGCAATGGAAAGACATGGCTGGACTGACGCTACCATCCCTCTCTGAGTTCCTGACTCAAGATGGAGATGGGCTCTTCCATGTGGAGGCATCTCTTGTGGTTACGGACAGCAGCCTGAGCAATGTGACCTGCACTGTCCAAAATCCTCTGTCTGGTCAAGAGAAAGCATCAGCCATCTTCCTTCCAGGTCAGTGAGGCTCAAACCTCAAGGGAGAGTTGAGGGATCGTGAAAGAAGATAGAAATCAGGGTTGAGAAGAAAGGAGGGCTAAAGAGAACCATAGAGAGAGAAGGGCTTCTTCCAAGTCTATCTCTGACTATATCTCCCTGTGCCAATGTCAGAGCCCTTCTTCCCCAGGATGTCTCCATGGAAGGCAGCCCTGGCTGGGACAATCCCTGTGCTGGGACTTCTCCTCATTGGGATCAGCTACTTTGGATGGAGAGAACATCAAGCCAAACTGGTAGAAATAAAGAAAAGGGAAGAAAAAGCTTCTGAAAGGGATGAGATGAGGAAGAGAAAGGAAAATGCACTTGAAATCAGAGGTAAATGGGGGCAACAGAGCAAATTCAAGGTTCATGGGAAAACTGAACATGGGATGTATTGGGCAGATAGAGAAACCAAAGTTTGCCAAAGATTCCTAAGGGAAACACAGGAGAGCAAGCATTCTGTAGAGTTGGAAGCCCTATGGAGAGGAGAACGATGTGGGATGCTGATTGGTGGGCAGTGTTCATGAGGTCTCTAAAGTGTGGCTCTTAAAACTCACACCATGCTCTTTCATGGTTCCATATCTGTACTACTGTTATACTTACTGTCTGAAAAGGCTTTTTTTCTACCTTGTTGTTCTGGAGTCCTGGTGTGGCACTGTGGGTTAATGCTCTGGGCTGCAAGGTTAGTTTGAACCACAAGGTCAGCAGTTCAAGTTCACCAGCCACTCGCTATGAGTCAGAACTGACTCAATGGCACGTAACTACACAACAACATCAGCTTTGTTGTTCTAGCCATTCTTTAGAATTCCCTAAGGAATCTTACACTTCTCTACAGACTGAGTACTTCTCTGTGACTCTAGCACTTCCAACGTCGCTTTTCTTAGCTCCCTGCTATTTTCTATTTGACATAAATGTGATCTAATCTTTTCAACTTTACTTAATTATGGGATCCTCAAGGGAAAGTCAAACTGAATTCTTCCAGGTACTCCCTAAATTCAGGGTCAGACACAACTCAATTTAATGGATTTTATGTCTCTTACTCATTCAGGGAAACTGAAGAATGACCTTGGTGAGTCTTGTTTTTTCTGTTACTATATGTAAAGTCAGCTTCCCCTTTTAACATCTGTTCTGAGTCTTACTGACGTTTTTTTGTTGTTGTTGTTGTTCCCCATTCAGAACAGCGAAAAGCCTTATACAGGGAAGGTAAGAGACTTTGGTTTTCCCCCATTACTGGATATCCTGATGTCTGCAATTGATTGGCTCTCTCCTTAGAAGAAAAAACTAAACAATTTTTATGTAACTAATGGAAGGAAATAGTAAGGGGAGGAATGTGAAGCTGCAGGTTAACTTTTCACCTTGTTTTTCTGGATTTGTTCTGTTTTAGATTGGAGAAAGGCCCTGCTATATCCTGGTAAGTAATGTCCAGACCTTGAATCTTGTCAAGTGCCTCTACTATTCTGAGAATAATAGGCCTCTACTATTCTGAGAAATACACACTCACACACCTGTTCACTTGTAAGTTGTAGAGACTGATTTGATACCACTCTGTGGTATTTTGTCTGGAGACTCA